ACGGCCTCAGCATGGCTGGAGAAGCAGTGCGTCAGTGCGCACCCGGGATCCGAACCTGGGCCACCAGCAGTGGAGCGCGCGCACTAAACCGCTAAGCCACGGGGCCGGCCCCAGAGCCTTCAGATTTTTTTTTTTATAATTTTTATTTATTTATTTTTTTTCCCCGAAAGCCCCAGTAGATAGTTGTATGTCATAGCTGCACATTCTTCTAGTTGCTGTATGTGGGACGCGGCCTCAGCGTGGCCGGAGAAGTGGTGCGTCGGTGTGCGCCCGGGATCTGAACCCGGGCCGCCAGCAGCGGAGCACGAGCACTTAACCGCTAAGCCACGGGACCGGCCCAGAGCCTTCAGATTTTTGAAGTGATGTAGAAACCAGTATTTCAAATCATTCTTTATAATTATTGCCACCCACAGTGAGGACATCAAGAGAAACCTTTACTTTGATAATTCTAGGAGGTGAAATCTCACCCCAGGAACCACTTTTACCTTCCAGCAAACACCTGCAGATTGTAAAAGCAGTGCAGGGAGAGGCAAAAGCAGAGTGTACATGTGTTTGGGAGTGCGGGTGGTGAAGGGAATGTGGATAGGACTCCAGAAGGGCTGCAATATGGAAATCTCATTCCTCAATTAGTCTGTATAATTAGGATATAAAGGAGTGCAGCTGGGGAAGAGTCAGAAAGCATTTCAAACCATGATATAGGTTCCTGGCTCTTCCTTACCAGGTTGAACAGACTTTCCTAAGGGGAGGTGAAAAGGGGACTGGCTTCTCAGACTATAGCTTTCTTTTATTGCTCTTGCCTCCACTAAAACCTGTGGGGATAGGCTTGCTGGTTAGGCAGGGGCTACCTCTTGCTTGCTTTAAGAGTCTCCAAGGGACAATAGTTCAGTTGGAGAAAATGGCTAGAGACTAGGAGGATAGGGAGCGAATGGCACGGTGTAGACGGAGAGGCTGGTGGCAAGGGCTGCGAACCTGTGTGGCAGGAATGGGAGAAGGGTAGTAAGTCCTGGGCTGAGGCTCAGGGGCCAGGCTGCCCGAATTGGCAACTGCAGAGGGAGTATCATGTGCAGAGGTGGCACTGCCAGCAACTAGGCTTATGGGACTAGAAAGCCTGATTAGGGTCAGGGACTGAAGCACTCTCAGGTCCTCTCAGGTGGGAGATCCTTTTACAGACTAGACTAGGCCAGCCAGTAAGAAAGTAGCCTTCCTAGGAGCTTTACCATCGGACAGCTGCTGCCCCTGCGTGAGAACCTTGGTACACAAGAACTAGGCCATTGTGTCCTATCCTGTTCCACACACTTGCTCTAGATGGTCTTTATCACACAACTCACAAACACACACTGTGTATCCCCGGAGCCCACCTGACGTGGAGCTTGGGACTAATCCACAAATCTCCAGCATGCCTTTGGGAGCCCTTCTTTATTGGGAAATAAATACAGAGTCAAACAGGTGGGCCAGCCAACATCTGTAGTTCTGGGGGCCAAGAGGAAGGAGTCTGACTTGCTCAGAACTCAGATCTCCATGAGCTGGTCATTCCCCACGATCACCTCATTCACTCGTTTGGCTACAAAAGAAAAGGAAAAGGTTGTTTGAGAATTGGCAGCAAAAGATCTCATTTCAAACCCAATTATTTCTTTTTTTTTGAGGAAGATCAGCCCTGAGCTAACACCCATGCCAATCCTCCTTTTTTTGCTGAGGAAGACCGGCCCTGGGGTAACATCCATACCCATCCTCCTTCACTTTATATGGGACGCCGTCACAGCATGGCCTGACAAGCGGGGCGCCAGTGTGCGCCCGGGATCTGACCTAGGGCCGCCAGCAGCGGAGCGCGCACACTTAACCGCTATGCCACGGGGCCGGCCCCAAACCCAATTACTTCTAATTCTGTGTCGATAAACATTTATTCCTCTGCTATGTGACTCTGCTCTTAAGAAGCTCTTGGGAATACAACTTGCCAAAGGAACTATGGGAGAAACAGCATCTTCCCACATAGGAGGGGATTGACTCTCTATACGCCTGGCTTTAGGGAGACTTCACATATAAGGGGAACTGGAGCTGGGTCTTTTTTTATAATTTTTTTAATTTTTATTTATTTATTTATTTATTTTTTCCCCCAAAGCCCCAGTAGATAGTTGTATGTCATAGCTGCACATCCTTCTAGTTGCTGTATGTAGGACGCAGCCT